TTCTAACTCTGTTTTTCAAATAAAATAGGCTTTTTTAAAAAAATTTTTATTTTTTTTAATGAATATAAATTTCCAAAGTACAGCTTATGGATTACAATGGCTTCCCCCCCCCCAACTTCCCTCCCACCCGCAACCCTCCCCTTTCCCACTCCCTCTCCCCTTCCATTCACATCAAGATTCATTTTCAATTCTCTTTATATACAGAAGATCAGTTTAGTATATATTAAGTAAAGATTTCAACAGTTTGCACCCACATAGAAACACAAAGTGAAAAATACTGTTTGAGTACTAGTTATAGCATTAAATCACAATGTACAGCACTTTAAGGACAGAGATCCTACATGAGGAGTAAGTACACAGTGACTCCTGTTGTTGACTTAACAAATTGACACTCTTGTTTATGGCATCAGTAATCACCCTAGGCTCTTGCCATGAGTTGCCAAGGCTATGGAAGCCTTTTGAGTTCACCAACTCTGATCATATTTAGACAAAGTCATAGTCAAAGTGGAAGTTCTCTCCTCCCTTCTGAGAAAGATACCTCCTTCTTTGATGACCTGTTCTTTCCACTGGGATCTCACTCACGAAGATCTTTCATTTAGGTCATTTTTTTTTTTTTTTTGACAAAGTGTCTTGGCTGTCCATGCCTGAAATACTCTCATGGGCTTTTCAGCCAGATCCGAATGCCTTAAGGGCTGATTCTGAGACCAGAGTGCTGTTTAGGACATCCACCATTCTATGAGTCTGCTGTGTACCTCGCTTCCCATGTTGGATTAAATAGGCTTTAAAAAAGTGTAGAGTCAAGAACTCAAGGTCCAGGGTTGTGTTAGCAAGTTTTTAGTAGTCTACTCAAAGGAAGGGAATTAAAAAAAAAAAAAAGTTATCATGAGGCCATCAATGTGGCACAGAGGGTTAAGCCACCATTATAATGCTGGCATCGCACATCAGAGTAAATGTTTGAATCCCAACTATTCCGCTGTTGTTGGCATTTGGGAGGTGAACCAGCAGAAGGATTCTCTCTCTCTTTCTCTCTCTCTCTCTCTCTCTCTCTCCCTCTCTCTCTCTCTCCCACTCTGCCTTTAAAATAAATAAATCTTTTTTATTTTATAGGAAACTAAAGTAGCCATATGTATTTCATGATTAAGAAAATTAATAGGAGCCAGTGTTTGTGGCTCAGTGGGTTAAGCTGCTGCTAGAGATGCCAGCAATGGTTTGGGTCTTAGCTGCTCTGCTTCCAGTCTGGTTCCCTGCCTGTGTGGGAAGGCAGTTGAAGATGGCCCAAGTTCTTGGGCCTCTGCTACCCATGTGGGAGACCTGGAAGGTGTTCCTAGTTCCTGGCTTCAGCCTGGCCTAGCCCCAGCCATTGCAGCCATTTGGGGAGTGAACCAGCAGATGGATGATGTCTCTCCCTGTCTCTCTTCCTATCAAATAAACAAGTAAATCTTTTAAAAGAAACATTTTCTGCCAGTGTTCATCCAGTCATGGGCCCTGATGTCAGTGATTGCTATTTTCAGGAGTTCCCCAGCCTTCCAGCACACTTCCAGCACAATTCACCACAACTAGGATGACATCTGTTATGAGCAGAGGAAGAACAGACTATGGCCTTCTTCCCTGCTAAGGTCTGACCAAACCCCTCAGGAGTGCCCGATTCTCCCCAGACTAGGTAGCAAATGAGAGTTACTCATCCCACACCCCTTCTCCTCTACCCTTGCTTTGCCAAGTCCCCAGCCACAAACAGGTGCATGTCTTCTGCATGCTTCCACTCTGATCACTGAATATCATTCTCTGTCATAAACTGAATACCATCCATCCCACCACCAACCAAAATATCTGCTTCCTAACTGCTGAAATCTGGGAATGTCACCTTGTGTTGCAGGAGTCTGCAGGGGGGTAAAGACCTTGGATGGAACTATTAGCGTGCATTCTCCAGATGAGCTCTAAATGTAATCTCGAGGGTCCTTAGAAGAGGAAGGCAGGAGGGATACGGGGGTTGGAGGGCTGGGGGGTAGGGATGGGGTGACAGCTGTGCCGAGCTTGGAATGATGCAGCCATGGCCAGGGAATGAAGGCAGCCTTTAGCAGCTGGAAAGGCCAGGAACAGTCTCCCCTGCAGCCTCTACAGGGGCCCATGCTGCCAACACCTTGACTGCAGCCCAAGGGAAATTATTTCAGATTTTTATTTCCAGAGAGCTATTGTGTTTAGTCATCAACTCTATGGTAATTTGTCTCAGCAGCGATAGAAAATGAATACATACTCTTTTATTTTATTTCTACTTTTTTAAAGACTTATTTTATGTATTTAAAAGGCAGAGTAACAGAGAGAGATCTTCCATCTGCTGGTTCACTCTCCAGATGGCCACAACAGCTGGGATTGGGGCAGGCCAGGCCAAAGCCAGGGGACTGGAGCTCCATCTGGGTCTCCCATGTTGGGGACAGAGGTTTAAGCACTTGGGCCACCTTCTGCTGCTTTCCTAGGTGCGTTAGCAGGGAGCTGGATCGGAAGCAGAGCAGCCAGGACTTAAACTAGGCTCCAATTGGGATACCAGCATCACAGGCAGCTGCTTAACCTGCTGCACCACCAGGCCAGTCCATACATACTCCTTTTAAACAGTCTTTATATATGTATAAAATGTATAAAATATTTGTGAAGGGGCTGACATTGGGGTGCAGTGAGTTAAGCGGCCACTTGCAATGCCGGTGTCCCATCTCATAGTGCCAGTTCCAATCCCAGCTGCTGAGCTCCCTGTCCAGCTACTTGCTAAGGTGCATCCTGGGGAGCAGCAGATGAGATGATGGCACAAGTACTTGGGCCCCTGCCATCAATGTGGGAGGTCCAGATGGAGTTTCTGACTCCTGCTTGGACCTGGCCCAGCCAGTCTGGCCATTGCAACCTTCTGAGGAATGAACTAATGGATTAGAAGACTCTCTCTCTCTCTCTCTCCCTCTTCCCCTATCTCTTTCTGTTGCTCTGCCTTTCAAATAAACAAATCTTAAAATATTTGTCAAATTAGCAAAACACTAATGAGTAGATAGGACTACAGACCTAGACTTCATAGTGTGACTTCCAGGTTAAGCTGTGAAAGACTCAATTTCCAGGCTTTGTAGGACCGGTTTCCTAGATGGGTGCTAGGGGTGATGGTTGGAGGCCAAGAAGAAGGGAGCAGATGACCTAGAACTGGGAAAGTCAGGGCCAGCATCATGGTTAAGCCACCATCTGCAATGCCGGCATCCCATATGGGCAATGGTTCAAGTCCTGGTTGCTGCATTCCCAATCCAGCTCCCTGCTAATGCATCTGGGAAAGCAGCAGAAGATGACCCAAGTAATTGGGGCCCTACACCCATGAGGGAGACATGGATGAATCTCCTGGCTCCTGGCTTCAACCTGACCAAACTCCAACCCTTGTAGCCGTCTGGGGAGTGAACCAGCCCATGGAAGAGATTCTCTCTCTCTCTCTCTCTCTCTCTCTCTGGGGTGTGTGTGTGTGTGCGTGCTTGTAACTCTGCCTTTCAAATAAATAAAATAAATCTTTAAAAAAAAAAAAAAAAAAAAGAACTGGGAGAGTTGGCTCCTTGTCCTAATCTAAGTCATTCACTGCCTTAGGCCTGTGTTTCCTTGTCAGTGAACTAATGAAATTTATCCACACAATCATAAGATCCCTTCTAGCTCTACAATTCAGACCTGCAGCAGAACGCGTTTCCCTTTGAATTTCACGTCCACATCTGATTGCTGTCACAGTTCCTCTCTGGCTTCTGCCGCCAGAAGCCCAAGTGTCAGAAAAGGTGCACATCTGAGCTCAGGCACACATTGCTGTTTTTTTGTTTTGTTTTGTTTTGTTTTGTTTTAAGATTTATGTATTAATTTGGAAGGTGGAGTTACAGAGAGGCAGAGAGAGAGGGTCAGTCTCCCATCCTCTGGTTCACTTCCCAAATGGCCAAAACAGCTGGAGCTGCACAGTTTGAAGCCAGGAGCCAAGAGCTTCTTGCAGGTCTCCCACATAAGAGCAGGGGCCCAAGGACTTGGGCCATCTTCCACTGCTTTCCTAGGCCACAGCAGAGAGCTGGATCAGAAGTGGAGCAGCCGGGACTCAACCTGGTGACCATATGGGATGCTGGCACTGCAGGTGGAGGCTTAACTTACTACACCACAGCGCCGGCCCCAGAGAAGTTTTGTTTGCTTGTCACCATCGCAAGTTCCAAAGATGTCATGTCCACAGGACATTCAGGTTCTTTTACAATCGGACATTGGGTTTCTAGCTCTTTCCCCATTATTCAGTTTCTTTGAATCAACCCAGTATTACAAAATATCTGCTGTGAAGTCATCAGCATATTTTCATGATAAATCTAAAATCAAAATACACAGAAAACAAAAATATTACTGTTCAGACGGGAATTTGGCTTAAGGCTTATTTATTGTAAAAGAAAGACTGTCGTGTGAGTGTGCAGGTGTGTGTGTGTTTTCTTGGTAGAAAAGTGGACTTAAGGAAAATGGTCTCTGCACCTATTGTGACTGTTCCTGTCTGGCATCTTTTTGTCTGCTTCCTAGCATCCTGGTTCCTGTCGTCTGGCATCTTTTTGTCTGACTCCTACCACCCTGGTTCCTAAGCTTTGCCAACACCCCCAACTTCCCTTTGGCGGCGGTCCCACCCCCCCCCCCCCCCCGCATTGCTTGTGTTCCCTCCCAGAGGTCAGTGGCTGCGCACTGGACTCACCGGGGGCAAGTCAGGCAGGGTGGCAGTCCTTATGAAGCGCTCCCTGGCTGAGTCGCGTTGAGTTCAGCAGCTGGAGCGTGGGGAAGGTGCCGCTGCTGCGCATTGGCCACCCAGCCTACATTCTTAGATGTGGCTGATTAAGGATCCGACCAAGGAATCAGGAAGGGAGCGCCAAATCACCACACTGAGCGGCTGGCATTCCCTGTCATCCTGTGCAGAATCTTAAAGGCTGGAGAGAGGAAGCCATCGTCAGAGCTTCTGTAGGCCAGAATTAATGGCTGCTGTGTCCCGTCAGGTGGTTTATGAGATACCAGCACGTGGACCCTGAAGAGGCGGTGAGGATTCACGTGGACGTTCAGACCAAGAAATCTGTGGCCATTCACTGGGGAACCTTTGCCTTAGCCAATGAGGTGAGTCTGCTGGCGAGAAGCAGGGCGTCGGGGACGTGCACGAGCCTGAGAGGGCTCTGGCGTCCCTGTCCCCAGCTGTGTTTTCCGAGGCTGCACGGGGCGTCGGACCCTGCACAGTCATCACAGTCCCTGCATGCGTGAGGCTGGAATGTCGCCCCAGTTAGTCACGACATACGCACCTGCAGAGGGAGAAACGGTCCTCTTTCTGGGCTGGTTTCTTTCTAGTTAACAAAGCATGAGTTTACATAACCAAGCGTGTGTGTAGTCCCGGGGGTAGGACAGGGAGCCATCCTGTCTTCCCCTGCAAGGAGGCTTTCGTTCTGGTGGATGATGGGAGACGCACACGTGAGACGGGTGTTGGAAGGGGAGGTGCTGTAGTGCGGCACAGATGGTTGGTCTCAGAGTTAGGGCCTGTTTCCCCCAGGAGGGATCGGGCAGGCCTCACGGGAAGAGTGGTGCCTGAACCTGGCCGTGTGAAAGCTGGAGGAAGGCGCTGCCATGGGGGGTGGGGGTGGGGGCAGAGCAGGTGCTCGGAGGCAGCAGGCGTGGGGCATGGTGAGGAGTCAGTTCAGCAGGAGGGTGGACGATGAGGAGGGCCATGGAGAAGGAAGGCTGGGCAGTGTGGAGCTTTCTAGAAATGTGTTATTCACCCAGTAAACCCTGATCTGGCGTCTACTGTGGACCAGACATTGGGATTCGTGAGGCTCTAGTCCTAGGTGAAGGCAGAAGAGCTGATTGTTCCCTGAGGGAGCTGGCGCCTAGAACTCTGCTACTAGCCTGGGTTCTGGGATCCTGCATACGGTAGGTTACAGCCTTCTCTGTAGAAGCTCCCAGCTTCTGGCTTCAGATTGGCCTAGCTCTGCCTGTTACAGCCATTTGGGAAGTGAGCCAGCGGATGGAAGATCTCTCTCTCTCTCCCTCTCTCTCTCTCTGCCTATGTCTCTCTGCCTTTCAAATAAAGAGATCTTTAAAAAAAAAAAAAAAAAAGGCAGAGTGGCAGAGGAGAAATCTTCCATCCACTGGTTTACTCCCCCAAGTGGCCACGGGGCCAGGTCAAAGCCAGGAGCTTAGTATTCCATCTGTATCTCCCACCTGCTTGCGCATGGAGCCAAGGGAGCTGGATCAGAAGCAGAGCAGCTGGGACTCTATCCAGAGCTCCAATTGTGTATGCCACTGTCACAAGCTGGCCCCAGTTAGACCTTTTCAAAAAAGAAAAATAGTAATGACAAGTTCACTCCCCAAATGTTTGCAATGACCAGGACTGAAGCCAGGATCTGGGAACTCAGTCCAGGTCTCACACGTGGGTGGCAGAGACCCAACTACTTGAGCCAATACTGTTGCCTTTTGGTGCTGTATTAGCAGGAAATGGGTCAGGAGCCAAAAATGGGAATTGAACCCAAGCCCTCTGATAAGCGCTATGGGCATCTTAATGGCTAAGCTAAATGCCTGTCCCTGCCATTTAACTTTTAAAGCAGTTACTAATTTAAACTCTATTTGTTTCCATTTCTATTTCTCAAACAAGAATGTGGGTTCCTAATAGGTAAACACTGGGTTTTTTTTTTAAGGTTTCTTTATTTATTTAAAAGAGCTATACAGAGAAAGGGAGAAACAGAAAGAGAGAGATCTATCCTCTGGTTCACTCCCAGATGGCCACAATGGCCAGGGCTGGACTAGCCAGAGCCAGGAGCTACTTCTAGGTCTCCCACATGGGTAGCAGGGGCCCAAACATCTGGGCCATTTTCTGCTGCTTTTCCCAGGCCATTGGCAGGGAGCCAGATTGGAAGTGGAGCATCCGGGACCTGAACCAGCGACCATACGGGATGCCAGCATCGCAGGCAGCAGCTTAACCTGCTAAGCCAGAATGTCGGCCCCTGCAAACACTCTGATCCACATTTATACCTCTAGCACTTACTCCTGTGCTTCACAACAGACACTTATATTGTGTCTGTGGACTGAATAAATTAATGGATAATAATTCCCTAAATTCTAAAGAACCTACTTGGGATGGGCAGGAGTGGGAAGCAGGGCAGGGTAAGGGAGCAGGAAATTAATGGTTCAGCAAGACATCCGAACATAGGAGAAAAAGACAAGGCTGATTTGTATGATGACTCAATTCAAGAATATCCTCAGATTCTCATTGTACATGCAGTGTAGCTTTCCTCTTGACCTTGCTTCAAAGTCAGCTTCTAAGCGGAGTTAGCAGCTTGAGCATCAGGGCACAGCAATCTGCTGGTGAGGAGCTCTTAACTGGGGCGGATGGCAGGCAGCCACACAGGATCTGTCAGCTTTGCGTCTTTGCCCAGCTCAGGCAGAGGCTGGCGACTTGTGAGTTTTCTAGTGGCTGCTTCACAACTCTGTCCTCGCAAAGCATTCTGAGGAGCAGCTGATTAACCTACCTACCTTTAGTTTTCCTTCTGAGTCCAACAGAGTACACACACACCTGGTCTACCACCCTTGGAGTACTCCAGATGTCTCTCCCTTTTTCCTGATAAAAAGAAGAAAGGGAAACCCTGCTCTGAAAACCTTTCAGCAGAAGTGAGGTTATCAATTCCACACACCCAGAAAACCTATGAAATCACACATTTCATAATATATCACTTTAAAAAAAAAACATGTATTTATGTTACAGAGAGAGCGGGAGAGAGAAAAAGAGGACAGAGATCTTCCATCTACTCGTTCACTCCTCAAATGACCCTAGTGCTTGGGTCCCTGCCACCCACATGGGAGACCCGGATGGAGTTCCTGGCTCCTGGATTCAGCCTGACCCTGCCTCAGCCATTGAACCGGAAGACAGAAGAGCTCTTTCTCCCTCTGACTCTCACTGTCTTTGTGTCACTCTGTCTCTCAAATAAATAATTCTCAAAAAAAAAAAAAAAAAAGGAAAGAAACGAAATACCATTCAGCAATTAATGATAGCCTATGGAGAGAAATGAAAAAGAAAAGGTAACCATAATTTCCAGTCAAAATCTTCACAATTTCCATTGAAATGCAAAGTCCTATGGACTGACCCACCAAAATTCATGTGTCAAAGTTCTAACCTCCCCCATGACATTCTTTGGTGAGATCATCTTTAGGAGGTAATTAAGATTGGATGAAGCCGGCGCTGCAGCTCACTTGGCTAATTCTCCACCTGCGGCGCCAGCACCCTGGGTTCTAGTTCCGGTTGGGGTGCTGGATTCTGTCCCGGTTGCTCCTCTTCCAGTCCAGTTCTCTGCTGTGGCCCAAGAAGGCGGTGGAGGATGGCCCAAGTGCTTGGCCCCTGCACCCACATGGGAGACCAGGAGGAAGCACCTGGCTCCTGGCTTCAGATCGGCGCAGCATGCCAGCCGTAGTGGCCATTTGGGAGTGAACCAACAGAAGGAAGACCTTTCTCTCTCTCTCTCTCTCTCTCTCTCTCTCTCACTGTCTAACTCTGCCTGTCAAAAAAAAAAAAAAAAAAAAGATTGGATGAAAGGCAAAGGTGGGACCTTAATGCTCTGGGAATGTGGCCTTGTAAAAAGAAGACAAAAACAGGTGCTTAGCCTCGCGGTTGAGACGCCAGTTCAGATGCCCACGTACAGCATCAAAGTGCCTGGACTGGCTACCCAGCTGCACTCCTGGATCCAGGTCCCGGCCAGCGCAGAGCCCCAGAGGCAGCAGTGATGGCTTCTGTGATTGCAGCTCCATCCCCGCCACTGTGGACACGGGGGTCAAGTGGTAACTGCAGGAGTCTAAGTGAGCCGGGACACTGCCCAGACCGTGAAGACAACGCCCTGCAGCTGGTTCCCCAGTAGTATGACCTTTGCAGCAGCTCTGACTGTACCTAACAAGGAGTGAGCTTTGTGTCTTGGGCCGTCGCAGCAAGAGTGATTCACAAGTCCATTGTCTGCCTCTCCCTGCACATGGACTGCATCGAGTGTGGGCGTGTAATGTACACCCGTACTCAGCCATTAAGTCTGCTAACTGCTCCAGGTGGTCTATGATTTTCCATGAGGTAGTCTGCGATTTATCACTGGGATTGATAACCCACACCTAAATCTGCCCATCCCCTAGGCTGACTCTCCTAGGCCATGTGAATTCCAGAGCTGAAGTGTCTGTCGACTCAAACGGATCCTCCTTCCACAAAACTCTTGAAGTATGTCCTGGGAGCTAACTCCACAATCCATCTGCAGGCAGAGAGCTAGAACACTACAATTTTATAAAAGTTGCCTAAAACATTTTTTTAAATGGTTTATTTATTTGAAGGGGGTGGTGAGAGAGAGAGAGAGAGAGAGAGAGAGAGAGAGACCAAGCACTTTCATCTGCTGGTTTATTCCCCCAATTGGCCACAAAGGCCAGGGCTTTTTCAGAATGAAACCAGGAGCCAGAAACTTTATCCAGGTCTCCCATGTTGGTGCAGGGGCCCAAGCACTTGGGTCATCTTCCGCTGCTTCCCCAGGCACATTAGCAGGGAGCTGAATTGGAAGTGTAGTAGCCAGGCCACATAACACCAGCTGCAAATTACTTGTTTTTTAATCATCACAGTATTAATCTATTTATATAACCTGAACTTGCAGTTTTTTTTTTTAAAAAAAAAAAAAGCACTTTTATTTGGCTATGTAGTGCTATCTCCCTCTAATCTCATATTTGCACAGTTGGTTCTTGAACCTAAATGGAGAGCTTTTATGTTTGTTCCCATAAAACCTTAAATATATTACATTATGTCTATTTCCCTAGCCCTTTGAGGGTATTTATGTACTGATTTGGTCTCTGTCAACTATTCTTTTTTCCCTCTTTTTAACTTGAGAGACAGAGACAGAAAGAGATAGTAAAGGAAAGAGAGAGCTCCCATCCGCTGGTTCATTCCCCAAATGCCCCAAACAGCACCCAACTAGGGCAAAATACAAGAGATGGGAACTCAGTGCAGCTCTGCCACGTGGGTGGCAGGAACCCGATCACTTGACCCATCACTGCTGCCTCCCAGGATCTGCAATACTGGGAAGCTGGAGCCAGGAGCAGAGCAGGGTGTGATCCCAGGCACTCTGCCATGGGACGTGCACCAAAATGCCCACCCCTGTCAAGTGTTCTTTCATTGTGTGTTTACTTAAAGATGGAGGAAAAGGGCATCATGGAAAACTGGACAAATGTTTATCACTTGGAATAGAAGTACAGCTCTAAAATCTTTGGTAATCCAAAACTCATCCAGATACCAGTGACATTTTTGAGGCCCGAAACTTGTCTGATTCCCTCGTGAACTGCTCTCTTACTAACTCTGCTTCTATTGCCCTCTTTGTTACAATTTATTTCTATTCCTTCCCTTTTTTTTTTTGACAGGCAGAGTGGACAGTGAGAGAGAGAGACAGAGAGAAAGGTCTTCCTTTGCCGGTGGTTCACCCTCCAATGGCCGCTGCGGCCAGCGCGCTGATCCGATGGCAGGAGCCAGGTACTTATCCTGGTCTCCCATGGGGTGCAGGGCCCAAGCACTTGGGCCATCCTCCACTGCACTCCCTGGCCACAGCAGAGAGCTGGCCTGGAAGAGGGGCAACTGGGACAGAATCCAGCGCCCCGACCGGGACTAGAACCCGGTGTGCCGGCGCCACAAGGCGGAGGATTAGCCTAGTGAGTTGCGGTGCTAGCCTATTCCTTCCCTTTCAATTCCTTCGCCCTTAACTTTGAATCTGATGGGATCTGAGAGTTCCATCCAATTTGAAGCACACTGTTCGGTAGCTTGTCCACACACACACCCTCATTGGCCACTGCCCAGCTGTGTCTAGCCTAACAGTTGATTTGTTGTGTCTTAAAGATTCCTTTTTGTTTGTTTGTTTGTTTGTTTATCTGAAAGGCAGAGTAACAGAGAAAGAGAGGGAAAGACAGAAAGAGAAATCTTCCAGCCACTAGTTTTCTCTCCAAATAGCCACAATGGCCAGGGCTGGGACAGGCCAAGGTCAGGAGCCAGGAACTCCATCTGGGTCTCCCATGTAGGTGGCAGGAGCCCAAGTACTTAGGCCGTCTTTTGCCGCCTTCTCAGGTGCATTAGCAGACAGCTGGATTGGAAGCAGAGCAGCCAGGACTCAGACTGGCACTCATATGGGATGCTGGTGTCACAAGCAGTGATTTAACTGCACCACAACACTCCTTCCCCACTCCCCCAACAATTGGTTTGGACTAGAATAGTAGTTCCTGGTTAGATCTCCGGGATGTCGTCAACTTAATGGGACCCCTTGACAAAAATGTGTTCCCTCATTCAGCAGCTGGTGAGCATCTGTTATGTGCCAGGTGGTGTTAGAGGTGCTGGTGGTATAGACGAAGACTGCACCCTCAGGGAGCACCTATTCTGACGGGAAAGAAAGCCAATAAACAACTAAGGGAAAATTAACCAAGTGATAAATTAAAAATCAAGGTAATCAGAGAGGGCAGGAGAGAAGGGATTAAAAGTGTTGAGAGGAAAGGCCTCAATGGAAAGATAAAATTTAAGCTGAGACCTGAGTGATGAGAAAAGGACTTCTCTGATTAAAATTTCTGTGAGGGGTGGGCGTTGTGACACATCAGGCTAAGCCACCACTTGCAACTCCCGTATCCTATACGAGCACTGGTTTGAGTCCCAGCTACTCCACTTCCAAACCAGCTTCCTGATAATGTGCCGAGGGAGCAGTGGAAGATGGTCCTAGCACTTGAGTTCCCACCACCCATGTGGAAAACCCATATGGAGTTTCTAGCTCCTGGCTTCAACCAGACCAACCCTGGCCATTGAGGCATTTGGGGAGTGAACCAGTTGATGGGAGCTTCCTCTTTGTGTCTGTCTCTCTGCCTTTCAAATAATAAATCTTTGAAAGAAAAAATATCCAGCAGAGCATTCCAGCATATTCTAGAAAAGGCGTGGGTGTAGTTACAAGGTTGGTGCAAAGAAGAGAAAGAAGGCCAATGTGGGGAGTTGGAGGGAGAGTAGCAGAAGATGAAAGTGGACAGGCAAGCAGAGGCAGAGCATTAGGAAGTGCGGGTTTTCAGTGAACCAGAAGCCACCGCGGAGTTGTAAATCTGAAAGATGTTTGCAGGAGGCAGACGTGACCTGATTTTAACCAAGCCCACAGTACCATACCACCTGAAGGCATGGGCTAGAGCTGCTTTAATCGCCACATTTGAGCATGGCTGGCTGGCACTTAAGTTTCAGAAATTACCCAGTCTGGTCATCTGGAAAGTTCTGTGCTTCCATTTATCGGTCATGTACAACTTGATAACCATGCCTTCAGTGTTCTCAGCTGGGTCACGATACAAATACAGCTGCAGAGGGCGAGGTTGAAGTGGCAGCCACCAAGCACAAGGAGCAGATCCACAGCACAGCACACAGGAGAGCCAGCCAGGTGGTGGCAAAGGGAACCTCCCAACTTTGCTCCACAGCTGACCCCAGCCCTTCAGATTTCCAGAGCTGAAAGGTGGCAAATCAGCTTGGACTGGAGAAAGAAAGAAAGAACAGCCTCGCCGTTAAACAGGCTCAGGGGAAGAGCTCAGACACAACCGGCTGCAAAGCCAGCCGGGAGCATTATTTCCCCCAGGTCTGGCAGCAGCAATCAAGCTCGCTCTCTCGCCCTTGCTCTCTCGCTCTCTCTCTCCCTCTTTCTCTCTTCTCTAACCCTACCTTTCAAACAAATAAATAAATAAACTTAAAAAAATTTAAGTTTATTTATTTATTTATTTATTTATTTTAAAGGCAGAGTTAAAGGGAAGCAGAGGCAGAACGAGAGAGAGAGAGGTCTTCCATCCACTGGTTCACTCCCAAGATGGCCACAATGACCGAAGCTGGGCCCATCTGAAGCCAGGAGCCAGGAGTTTCTTCTGAGTCTCCCATGCAGGTGCAAGGGCCCAAGCACTGGGGCCATTTTCTACTGGTTTCCCAGGCTAGGGCACAGAGCTGGATTGGAAGTAGAGCATCCAGGACTTGAACCGGTGCCCATTTGGGATGCCAGCACTGTACATGGCAGCTTTACTTGCTATACCACAGCACTGGTCCTTAAATAAACTCTTTAAAAAAAAAACTCAAGCTCTCCTTCCAAGATTCTTCTTCCTGTTGAAAACTTGTTTCAACATACATTGTGTAGGTTTTTATTTAAACTAC